GAGGTGCTTTCCTTGGTAGCGACGCAGTTCATTTTCAGTTCGAGCCAGAGTAGACCTGCCCGGAGGAGAAGCCAGGGGATGATAGTTTCCGGTTCCCTTCTTGTTCCGGTTCCAGTCCTGTTCCAGTTCCAGTACGGCCGTTTAAGTCCAAAACACGTAGGAGCTGAAGTCTGAATCCAGCGAAACTAACAAAACTAAAATGGAGATATATGCCGAAAGGGCCAGATGGATTTTGTCCTATTAAAGAAAGTGTTCTTCACCGTGCAGGAATAGCTGACAGTTTAAAGCATTGCCTGGAAATGCTGAATGTTTTCACCTAAGATGTTAAGTTTTCGTTTATGATGTTAAGTTTTTCATCATTTTTGAAGTTCTAGTTGAATAAACCTTAAAGTTTTAGTCAAGGTTTTGTGTTCTTCAGAAATTTTAGGTTTGAAGTCAGATATATCACATAGAATTTAACGGGAAAAATCAACACTCAGAAAAGGCGTCTGCTCTCAGAAAGCATCAAGATAACAGGCTTCGGAATCCTGTCCATTTGCTTTTGCCACCAAAGATAATTGAGTCCTATATACTTGGCAGGAGGTCTTTCGATCATATGTGAATAGCTTTAGAAAGGGTCGAGACGGTATAGGTACGAATTTAAAAACATTAGAATTGTGAGCTGTTGTCATTGTGGATTTTTTCAAGCTGTAAACTTCCTTGGCCACAGCAGCAGGACTTCTGTCTCGAAATTACTCTAAGGTTAAAGTTACATATAAGGGTGGAACATGGTTACAGTTACGTATAGGTTTTAATAACACTACGAATTGCAGTTATACAGAAACTAGACAGAAACTGCGATAAGTGTGGCGACTTATGTCAATTTCTCACCAAATTTGACTACAAAAATTAATTGCCAAAACTATATCCAATTCGGTGAAATGTCGCCAATTTAGCGAGATAGCCATTTACCTCAAATAGATTTGTCCCTGTAGCCCTTATTTTTCAGTCTCGCAGAGCTTCGCCTTTTCGGGGCACTTCATGTTGCATTGCGCAAGAGATACTACACTTTTACACATAATTTCACTAAAATTATTTACAAATTTCGTTACAATACAAGAATGCAAATTCATATAACATTTTAATGTGAGGTATGATGCTGTGTGTCATTATCTAGAACTTTAGGTCTACAAAAAAGAAAACAGCTTTATTTTTAAATTTGGTTCGATGTCTATATCATATATGGTTCGACATCATATCATCTATATCGACATAAAATAAATAAATAAACTAAAACCAAATTATTTTTAAATCTGGTTTTAATTTATTTATCTATTTTTCTTCTTTTAGGAAAACAAGTGTCGAGATGGCTGTTTCACATTTGTAAGTTTTTACAAAATGAATTAGAAACTTAATTGCCTTTTGTTTCAGAAATGGACACTTTTGACGCCAAAAGAACCAAAATTCTACTAATAATATTTTGTTCGAAGCTTTCTTTCAATGCTCTATCACAAGACAGGTCTATATACAGTATTTGAATCCAATAATTCCGTTTCTGATTCTATATTAATTGTAAAAGGGTTCTTATCCATGTTTTGTTGCTATGAATTAGAGGAAAATATTTTTTTCACAATTGTCTACAATTCTATCAGATGTTCCTTGATAGCAAATGAAATTTAATCAGGCAGGGAGCTAATACTGCATTCTTCTTGCACACCAGTTAGCTTCAAAAAAGGTTTGTAATTTTCAGCTTCCATACGAAAGGTCCACAAACTGAGCTTTATCATCGCAGTTCTACAGTTTCAGTTTTTCCTTGCACCTTAAAATATACATACAGTGTTGCCTATAACGAAAGATGTAATTTATTTCAAAAATCAAAAATGTCTCAAAAGTAAGATAATTTCTTCTACCAATTAACATCGCTAAAATTATGTTTAAATTCTAATTTTACATTTTTAGTTTCCGGGGATATTTTTTACAGACATTAAAAATTCTACTCTCATTTCCAAATGTCTCTTCAAAAAATTCCCTCTGGATAGCAACAATACATCGCAAGGCATATGAAGATGATCATGTTCGTTGTTCATCTCTTCCAGTATTTTTTTATACATAACGCACAGAGTAACTTTTAATTCGTAGGACGATGTTTTATAAAATTTTATACGTTTTTATACAGCACTTTGCAAAAGCAATGACAGTTTTTATAGCCAAGGCTTCACTGTGTATGTTGTAGTGCAACCATACACATTCTGGTGCTGTGGTCTTTATTTCTCAAAAACATCCTACTCGAACGCCTGACATTGTGCGAGAACTATCGCTACTCAGTCTTACGCAGTTTTTCAAATTAATATCATTTCGACTGATGTAAGCATCAATCAAGTAAAAAATTCTGATTTTGTTCTTGTATTCAATGGTTTTCAAAACAGAATTTTCGTTGCATATATCTTCAAAATCATATTTCAGAAAACACATTAAATTGCCATTATTCGATATGTTTGTACTTTCATCGACTTAAAGAGGAGAAAAAGGCCTGTTTTAAGAGACAACAGTTTCTTCGATATTATTTGCTATTTGCATTATTTCATGATTGCTGTTTCATTTCATTCATTCATTGTGTTACTGGAAAGAGAGAGAGAGACAACATATTAATCTGGTTTCTTTATTTTTACCACATATACGAGATGTCAGCATTTTCACTGCAGAAACTGTTAAGCAACAGTATGAGGATATTCAGTTTCAGCAATTAATTGGCATATTTCATAAGAAATCATAACTAGATTTTCACACAAAGCACCTGAGAAAAATTCGAAGATATAGTCTGTTTGCTACCTATTCGTTTTTTGTTCTTGTTTATTAATAAATCTACCAGTTTGTTATTGTATTTCGGATGTGTTAAGTGCCGCTTCAACTATGAAGGTCTCATGGATTTCATTTGGTATGATCGTATAAAAAAATAGCACACAATGTTTTCTTCGTGGACACCTTTCGTGAAATCAAAATTTATATAATCGTCAGATGCTGTCGAATCCAAGATGTTTTCTTCTTTTCTCCAGCATCTCATGTGGCCGTTTGTTAGTGCCATTCTTGGAACACGTGCTTAACTGAACATCACCTAACTGTTTATTGTTAGTGTCATCAAATAAACTCTTCCTGCCTGGATATCATTTGAGCATTTATCGATCGGAACTAGCATTTTTATTGTTTCTGTTTTATTAGCAATTTATCCACTGAAAATTAGAATTGATTATGCTGTTATAATTAATAGCAAGTTAGTAGAAAAAAAAGTACGCAGTATCTGAACTTATAGCTAACAAATAATCACCGAGAGTGTGAATAAAACTGTGTTGCTCCCAAAAGTTGATTGGAATATCGCAAAAGCTCTAGGTTAGATTCGGTGTCGTCTTTATACATAAATGTTCTCATATAAAAACGTTCATATAAAACGTTGGTTGTGTCTTTTACCGTACTCCATTTAAGCCTCATCAAGTTGTGGTGGCATCACAGATAATATAAAAATAGGAACTAAACTAAGAAACAAATTACAAGGGATAAGTTTCAATATTATGTAATAAGCTATAAGTTTCAGTATCATGTGCCATCTATGAAGATATTAAATTGCTAAATCTCGACGTCATGAATAGACAAACCATAATATAGTTTCATATATGAGGTTATTAATTTAAGTTTATCTGGGACCCAGTTTTGTTTTAGTAATCCAGTGTCGGGTCACGGTAATTAATGAACAGTATTAATCAATAGAGGACATTTGAGAAACATCTAAATGGCTGATCTAAGAAAATTTTTTTATTTTCATTTGCCTTCTATGTGGAATGTCCGTTATCGGGAGTTGATACACTCTGATACCCTATTCCAATAGTCCGAGAATTTAGGATTTGTCGATTAATGAATGGGAAATGTTCGTAAAATGGATGTCCGTTAAACAGAGGCTCGAATGTACTGCCTTATTATTTATTATAATTAATGTTCTTCTTACTCTTATTTTTTAATATTGTAGAGGTAGAGGAGAAATTGTCTATTTCTTAACTTTTGGAGGACAGTGTTTATTTATGATGAAACCTAAAATATGTAAATAAGTTCATATTAAATCTGGAACTAAATAACGCTCAAAACTTTGCAATAAATTCAGTGACCCAAATAGATTTTACTTCTCTTTTTCATTCTACAATGCTCTACGGTGTTTTTATTTTGTATACTTTATTTTGATTTTTTCTCTGCCGGACTATTATTTTCTTGCCCTTCCTAAAAGAATATGCACTGAATTAAAAATTTGTTCTATTATAGGTATACTTTCCTAATCTAACTTACAGTCGGGGAGTGCTGTCTTATATGCCTTTTTTTATTAATCAACTATTCGTTTATCCGGCATAGTGTTCGGTTTTTAGAAGCCAATTAATTTCGAGTTTGCGTACCGAATTTTGTTTCATTGAAGAAAACATTTAGTATGAAGTTCCTGTGATAGTTTATGATAAATGAATGCAAAATTTAATATTAGAATTTAGCTTTTCTTTATCTAGCGTTAATTTCAAATAACAGTATTTTATGTATTTCAGATAACAAGAGATGCGATCTTTTTCTTCAGGAGCAAGACATTTAGCAAATTGCCTTGAAGTAACTGAGCACTAGAAAACTGAATAAAGCACCTTGAAACTGAGTAAATCACTTGGAAGTTAGTTGCGCTGACAATTATATAAGACAGATGCCTACAAATATTTTGTTCGAAAATGAGAAACCTAAGCTACCGAAGTACATCTTTTTCATGTGAAATCAAAGAGAAATAAAAGTTGCTTTTTACTAAGAACAAATCCATCCATTACCCCTCATTTGTCTTCATAAATAATATTAGAAGAATATTTCTAAATTAGATATTTCCATGATTTCTCCCCTTCCAGAGTTTTAGAAAATCTTTATCTTCTAATAAAAAGGAATAAAAGTGAATTTCATTCAGTTATTCTCCTAACAAAGTACAAAAAAATATGTAACGAATTTTTTATCTGCTTTGGAGTTTCAAAATACAATCCTTCTATACATAATCTAAGTCCATCGGAGATAGCTGGCATTAGTTTCCAATTCCCTGCTATCTGAAGTTCGCCATATTTGATTCGATATTTATCTCTTGAAGCAGACGCTTGGATTTTATGTATAATTCTTCTAAGTAAGTAAATTTTAAATGTAAATTTTTGTTACCAAAATTATTGTTATTTCATCATTTATTTTAATAATATGTAATAACTAGCAGACTAAACATATTACAATTAAGAGTTCTTTATGTATCAGATAACAAGCATTGTCAATCTACAGGGCAAATTCCTTGTATTTATAAAAATCACTCGAAACGTTTTGAAAACGCTTTTACACACACACACACACACAAAAGAAACTAGTTATGAAAATGAAAGTTAATATTTTAATATACATGTTTTCGCCATTTTTTAGGTGACATGAATGTACTTTGTGAACAAAATATTTATATGTATGCCTATCAGCGTTTAACAGGCCATTCTGATTTGAAAATTAAGTATTTTTGCTAAAACTTCAAAATATATTTTCGGATTATTGTACAGAAATATGAACATAATATATATATATATATATATATATTTGATGAATACGCTAAAATTAGCCTTACAGAAAGGTTCTAAATTTAAGGTTTGATTAAAATATGAGCTAAAATAATTTAACTAGAATTCATAATCTTCTGAAACAAAGACTTACTAACCTTGACGCTTTCGATTTTAAAATTATATGTTATTTCGTATTCTACTGAAGAAACATAAGGACTTTTTTATTTAGAAGAAGGAGACGTAAAAAATGTGCAGTGCCCTTCGTGGGATTCGAACCCTGGTTCTCTCGAATATGTATCGTGCATGCTTCCAGTTACAACACGAAGGCATGCGGAAAGGAGGAAGAAAATGCCTTATATACTCCCCCTTTTAAAAGGTGATTGGGGATTAACGGACCCAATCGCCAGATTTTGGTGATGATGAATTATCATTCACCACATTTTAGTTCAGGGACAACTTCTAGAATCTTTTAGAATTTTTCGAAGTCAGGAAACTGAAGAAGTCCACAATACCCTGTTCAAAAATAGTACACTAAATTTTATTGTGATTAATGATAGTTAATTTGAAAATATGGTGAAACTTCTCATGCCTACCGCGTTCCTAAGATAAGCAAGCATCTCTGAAAGTAATAAGTTACCCTTAGTATGAAACATTACGTCTCTTAAACAATGACCTTTTCAAATACCAAAATCCTCTGAAACTGTGGGTTATCGTCTTATAAAGGCTTCACTGTAGCACATTCATCTGGCCTGATGATCCATCTGGTTCTGGTACATCCATCTGGTGAAGTCTTATAAAGGCTTCACTGTAGTACATCTAAAATAAGAATTTTAGGTTGTAATTATTAGTAACTTACTGTTTTCTTAAAAGAGGATGTTTTGCACGCAATGCTTTTTAACAATAAAATTTTCAGATTACTAGATATTGTTTTCCCTTGTTAAAAGTGATTGAAACAGTAAAAGAAATATACGATATAAATCAGTGTATTTATATTAGCAATAAAAATCTTACATATCATACAATTATGCAATATAATCATACATATGTAGTGTCAATAGTTCCCCTTTCCTTGTTTATTGCCTAACGAAACTTAAACTACCAACTTTAGAAAGTTATTTTGTTGGTTCTCGAAAAATAAGAGTTTCATTGCATATAAACATCGTATTGTTTAATAATTAAGATTGATGCCTAAATTTTGGGACAGGCAAGGAATAATTAGCTCCCAGCAAAATTAATTCAATCATAAAAACTCCAAGTCAAGTTGTTGGCAAATGCTGCCATTCAGCATAGCATAACATTTTCAGCATCTGCATAGCCTGGCAAGTTACTTAGCTTCATATTCGACATGGTGTAAGATCTAACAATTTGAACACTTAATGAAAGGTACACAAACACATTCAGTAAACTGAAAAGTAATACTATATGCATTTTTCGCTGCGTTATTTTTTTAAATTCTTAATATTCTTGATCGATGTAATTCATAATACACCAGTTTCATGTAATTAACGATGTATGGAAATTATTATTTTTATAAATAATTAAATATAAGTTATAATTAGTAAACGATCTTTTTCTGATAATATTATACATATTGATACAGAATAATTACTTACATGCTTCCTATTATCAATTTTAACCATTTGCCCCCGAAATGTAATGATGAATGGTATAGTCCTGCAACTTCCAATATTGTTTTTAAAAGAGATTCATTAAATTGTCAAATTTCTCTGAACTATTTGTATTTAAACATATATAAATTCAAATTCGTATGGAAGGATTTCCAAAAAATTCATGTGAAAATGTAGCATCGCAGTTTTCTACTTTTACCATTTCTGTTCAGCATTACTAAAATTTGACTTTTGCGAAAATATAATTAGAATATGAAAACGTAGACAGACATTACATGGACACAATAATTTCCGTCACATTTTTTTCTGCTGGCTCAACTATTGAACACCTGGTTCATATTTCATTTTTAACGATTACCCTAAGCTTTATTTTAATAATACGAAGCATTTTCTGATTTTTTATCACTGTCATAATTTCTGCCAGGAAGTGTCTAATTTACTACAAAATAAATTTTGTACTTTGTACGAAAAGTTAAAAATAATCTGTCGGTATCGTTGCTTTTAAAAGTGTTTGCATTTCACAACTAAAAAATTATAACAATTAATATTTTTTAAATGCTATTGCTTATTAAATTGTAAAACTCAAAATATTTGTTTATTTTTAAATGCATTACTACAACAACAACAAAATTTAAAAAAAAATGTAGCAAACAACATAATTTTTTTTGTTAATAAGTTGAAAAACTTATAATTATTTATTGACTCAATTTTTCTGATAGTATAGGACTTTTTTCAAGTCCATTAAATGTAGAATGATAAGTACCATTATGTCTAAATCTACCGCTGCTAACATTTCCAACTCCTTTTGTTTAACTCTGATGACTAAGCTATCTAAAAGCGGCCATAAAACATACCAAGGCGTTTCATTAAAAATGACTTTCAACGTATATTTTCGATTAAAAATTGATGATAAGAAAACCTACTATACATTCAATTGCTTTATTTTATTTTTAGAGATACATATTATGAAATCCGCGAGTCTTCGCCCAAGTTGTTTTGAATACTATTTTAAAATATTCATAATAAAATAAATGCGAATTTGTATTTAGAATTTTCTGTATTTTAATGAGAAAATGAAGCCGAAATTGATGAAATATCAAACTACAAGCATTGAAAATTTCAATGAATGTGCATCAACTCGTTAAAGGCAATTATAGTAAATTTTGTGTTTGATTCCAGCGATTGTCAATTCTAGTGTCTAGCGATAAGCACTTCATCGCTATTGTAAATATACTTTTCGGTAATGCTAAAATAATCATATCTTTTCCTTTATGCGAAAAAAAACTAGTAAAAGTCTCGAAATATAAGATATTTTATAGCTTTATTCTTCTTAAGTTTGTAGGGTTTATATTTATTTTAACTAACATTTATTTAAGTTTAAACTATCTTTCCTGTCAAGCCTTACTTTCCCCTGGAACTGCCAATGCCAGAGTATGTAAATTTTAGTAGAACGCGCAAGGATTCAAATTATCAGCGGAAGTATTCTGAGTTAAATAGAAAGGAAACGAGTTCGAGGTGTGATATTCTTACTTCACGAGCGCGGAGGTAGTTAGCCAGAAATTGAAGAACCCCGCGTTTCGGCCTGTGTGCTTGGCCTGGGAAGTGTTAATCGTTCAAGTGAGCTTCAAGTTTTGCTGAATTAGCAGCGGTATTGTAAAACGCGGTGAGGTTAGTTACTTTTAGAGAGCCTCGTAGTTAGAGTCTTGTTTATTTTCTTTTCAGGTTATTATTTTTTATTTGACCGCCGAGTTGGCGCAGTTTGTGAGCGTCAAGAGCACGCAATTGTAATTTATTACGTTGAATAAAAAGGGACTTAAACCCTTACAAGACTCTGTCTTTTATCCAGTTTTCACAGTCACCTCTTGGTTGCGTGCAAGTTGGAGGCGCGCAACGTTTACATTGGCGCCCGAACACTTATCGAACTGAAATGGCCGAAAATTGGATGGAAGCCGCTGGACAACACCAAGAAATGACAAGCCAATTGGAAGGATTTGGATACCTGGTCCAGACTTTGAGAGCGTCAATCAAGCCAAACGTCATTTCGACGGAAAAACGGAAAAAATTCGGTGGCGTATTTCTAGAAGGTCTAGAAAACCACTTTCAGCTCTACCCTGTGCCTGAAAGACAAAAAGTTGCCATCGCCACATCAGCACTAAGAGGACAGGCCGCGCTATGGTGGAAAAATATAGGCAAATTTTTATTAGGGGAATTTGGAAGCCAGACATATACATTTGAAAATTTCAAAAAATCGTTAGTAAAGGCCTTCCCCATAGTGAAAGATCGAGCAACGGCTGGAAGCCGAACTATATAGTTTCTATCAACGGGATAGAAGAATTGACGGACTTATTTTTACGAAAAATTAAGCTGACGGATATGCTGTATGGGAAGAAACCCGATGCGGAGATTATTGAAATAATCTTACCAAGATTGTTACCCGCTGTTCAAGACTACTTTCGAAATTAGAAACCCAAGCACATTGCAGGAAGCTCTTCGAATTGGCGGTGAAGTTTCAAAATCGCAGAATAGCGGAAAAAGCGAGAGGGGCAACGTATTCTCAAAGTACCCGAAGGAAATCTTCAAATGAGGAAAGCAGAAATAGAAATCGCTCTTATGGGGGAAAGAGCTATCAAGCTAACGCATCGAAACTGGAAGGTCAAGGCCCAAAAAAAAAAAATTCGAAAATAAACATCCGCGTACCCAGAAGGCACAGATTGAAAGGAAAGCTTTAAACGAGTAGAGGGGCCTGTGAAAGGGAGGGTCCAGACCCCGGAAGTTTTAAAAAAACCCTCAAAAAAGACATTTAAATACGGTCATCGTAAAAAACTCACAGCTACCAATTATACAAGTCCTGGTTGGCGATGTACCAGTAGAAGCCCTCATCGATACAGGAGCAGAAGGAAATTTTATGAGTGAAAATTTCTTCAAAAAGAATTTTTATAGGGTACGATTATTTAAAACCAAAA